AACCAAATTCAAACCACGTTACTTATTATATGGTTCAGAGTTAATCATCTGCTAAATCAGCATTTTGAACAATCATTTGCTACTTTGTCCAAATGCACGCAAAGTAAGAATGTGGGAAATGCTTTAAACTCGTTTTGTAGGTCAGATACACAACCGAAATAGATTTTTTTATTGACCTTCACATGAATCATACAGAATATCCTGCGTAGAAACAGACCAAAATAGAAATTACAATTACAATTTTAATTTATACCTTTTTTGTCATATGCTCATTTTTCGCACTTTGACAAAACCTCGAACCGGATAATCATATTTCGCATTTTTTGTGGGGTAAATATCTGTATGGTGTTTAAGTGTCTACACGTGACAACCAGGTGCATAGTTCTTTATCCCCAAGAGTCCTTCGCCATCCTCAACCATCAACAAATACCATGCGAGGTATGTTTAACATTTCCTCATAAACAAATATACTGGCATCAAAGGACCGAGCCATATTACCCGCATGTTTCTTAATGAGGTTGGGAAACAACAACGGACAGGGAGTACAACCTTGGCGCACATTGCTTGAACGTGGCCAGTAATTGGATAAAGGACTTCCTTTGCTGAAAATACTGTCTATTTCATATCATCTTGCATCCTTTTCATCACAGTACCTAGTCTATGACGAAGGATATTCTGTAACAATTGAACCCTATCATGTTTCTGAAAGAAAAAATGTGTAATACATCTTTGCTCGGCTTACGAGTGCTTTGCTTTGGAGAAAAATATACCATCTACGGGCAAGAGACAACTCCGAAATTTACAACGATATCAATGTTGTCCAGGGTCCCGTTCCTCAAAGCGATCGTAGCGCTACGACAGTCGTAAGTCTGTGTTAAGGTATGGGAGTTACGATCACCTTAGCGCTACGATCGCTTTCAGGAACAGGGCCCTGGGCCCCGTTCCTCAAAGCGATCGTAGCGCTAAGGTGATCGTAACTCACATACCCGTTCCTCAAAGCGATCGTAGCGCTAAGGTGATCGTAACTCCCATACTTTAACATAGACTTACGACTGTCGTAGCGCTACAAACGCTTTGAGGACGGGGCCCTGAAGGGTTTTAGAATCAGCTAGATTTGTCCTTGGCAACGTTATAGAGATGACCATTATTAAGTTAATGTAAAATATGATGATGATGATGATGATGATGATGATGATGATGATGATGAATATTGTGTCTGGGTGGGATATCCATGTTAAGCTGTGGCGTGGTATCTCAGTGATCTATCACTATTCGTGATTCGAATCGTAGGTTTCTGGCATGCCAAAGGGGCGTAACTCTGCACAGTGAATTGCAATGCTATAGAAACCATGGTCCATATAACGCCTATGACGAGCAGTGTAAGTGGTATGTCCCATAAGAACATCTCTAGTCTGTCTCACAGTCCCTGAAGCACATTATTTGCCCTACTGCCAAGCCCTCCCTGCAATGCTAAAGCCATAAGTGAAGCAAGTCTAGATGTCTCCAGGTTCTGAATTTCTGATCTCCCTGGGGCTCCTTTTCAATTTAAATGGGTTTATTTGTTACAATCAAATTATATATATTCAGAGACTAGGCATAAGTCTAGAACATCTCCAACTGTTAATTATTATCGTAGTTGATTACATGCATACTAAATCTATTCAAGTGCAAGGTATGTTGATACTAATATGCTTATGTACGCATAGTTATAGACATGCACAAGTCTCTAAGGTAATAATTAATAGTTTAAATTTGAATTTCTAAAAAATATAAATAAAACACACATTGTCCTGTAACAGACTGGCATCACAATCCAGACATGCCTCTTTAAGGGATTGAATTAACATACATCCATGTGCTTTGCATTTAGTACAGCCTTGGAGTAATGCTTGCATAGTTACTATGGTGACATGCGTCAGTGAGTATGTGAATATTGTTTTCAATATATCAGCAATATTTACGATGGCCTGTAAATGGTCGAGTCTGGACCCGTCAAACCAGTGGTTGCCATTGTTAATATGACCCACGTCGTGGGGGTGCAATGAAGCGCAGGGCCTAGATTTTCGAAGCTCTCTTACTCTAAGATAGCCCTTAGTTAATGTATGGCACTTACGACTATCTTAGCGCTAAGAGAGCTTCGATAATCTAGGCCCTGGACTCCAAGGCACCGAACCTGACCACTAGATTCGGGTTAGAATTGATCTTCAGTAACCCATGCCTGTAGTAAGATTCGACTAACGGGATCGGGTGGTCAGGCTCGCTGACTTGGTTCACACATGTCATCGTATCCCAATTGCGTCAATCCCTGGATTGGCTCGTCCAGACTCGATTATTTACAGACCGCCGTAGAATATTGCTGAGCGCGGCGTTAAACAAACAAAAGAAGCATAGTGAAATAAACATGCATGCAAATCGCCTTCTTTTACTACAAATCTGCGATCACAGTATGCCACCTCATTATTGATGTATATTCATGAGAAAAATGTGTCAAAGTTTCAAATGAAATAATCATGAGAAAACCGAGCAGTATTATTTTAGTATACTAAATAGTTTCGAGAGAAAGGTGTCGTTTAAACATCTATTTTCATGAGAAAATACCATACCATACCATTTTCAACATACATACCATACCATTTTCAACATACATTTATAAGGAAAATATTTTTCAGTATTTCAGGAAATCATTGCCGTGAAAAACAAACCTTATCACTGCAAAAAAAAATTCAAACGGAATAGGTGATGTTATTCATAAAAGACTCGTCACGATATGGTTGAAATATTGCCGATGTGACGTTAAATATTAACTCACTCACTTATAAAAGAAATAGCGTATATTTCATGCGCTTAGAACATGGTGAATGTTGGCCTTAAGTGTATGTATAAATCTCTTATTCATTTATGAGAAACACATGCCACATTTTATGAGTAAAATAGTGTTATTATATAATATATGAGAAATATATTTACACGTTTCATTATGTTTTTAGGGGCGGTGGGATAGCCTTGTGGTTAAAGCGTTCGCTCGTCACGCCGAAGACCCGGGTTCGATTCTTCACATGGGTACAATGTGTGAAGTCCATTTCTGGTGTCCCCCGCCGTGATATTGCTGGAATATTGCAAAACGCGGCGTAAAACCCAAGTCACTCACTCACTCATTGTTTTTATCAGGGTTTTAATGTTCACGATGTGTTCTTTAGACGAATTTGAAATTACAATTAGATCTGACGACATTTGGGGATATATACTTGAATTGTTATGCACAATAGTCCCACGAGTTGACAAGTCTTTTAGCTATGCCCGTTTCCGCTAAGACGGAATCCCGTCACATGAGGGCCACGAGAGGGGTAGAGTCGCTGTTAGACTCGTTAAATAGTAGCGAGAGTGTGAGTGAGTTTAGTTTTACGCTGCTTTTAGCAATATTCCAACAATATCACGGTGGGGGATACCAGAAATGGGCTTCACACATTGTACCCATGTTGGGACTCGAACCCGGGTCTTCGGCGTGACGAGCAACGCTTTAACCACTCGGCTTCCCCACCGCCCCAAATAGTAGCGAGAAGTATGTTCTGATTCAAAAGAGATTGACATTATCCGATGATTTTAACAGTGCGACCCGGGGGCGAAACAATATAATCCGCTGTAAGGACAACCTCGTGTTTGACACCAAAATGGCAATAATATTTTTCTTCTGAAATGCTTTGTGTAGGACATTTTCAAAAATCTAGATTTGATTTGTTGACAAATATTAAGCCTGGAGCGCAGTGCAAATAGTTTCGAGAGATACTTGTGAAACTCTGTTCATTATCTGGTAAATGCAGGATGGCCAAGTGGATAATGTGCTCGTTATGTGGAATACTTGGGATCGATTCAAACATTGGTGCAATGCGAGAAGCACATTTGCCGTGTCTCCTGCTGTGACAATGCTTATATGGCTAAGTGCGGCGTAAAGAAACACGCACTTTGAGTGTACACTGTAACATTCATTAGCCAAACCAGAAAATGAATATATATTTTTTGGTGTTGTTGTTGGGGTTTTTTTTCAGGAAGGTTGGAACTGGTCTTCAGCACACTTGACCCATGCTTGTCGTAAGAGTCGACCAGCGGTACCGGTGTCAGGCTCGCTGACTTGGTTGACGCATGTCATCGGTTCCCAATAGTGTCAGTCACTGGAATGTGTGGTCCAGACTCGAGTATTTACAGAACGCAGTGATTTAGCTGAAAAAATGTTGTGTGCGACGATAAACAGTGAGTGACTTTACTTCTACGCCGCCTTTTGCAGTATTCCAGCAATATCACGGCGGGTGACACCAGAAATGGGCAGAAACCATTTGACCACGAGGCTACCCCACCCCCCGCGACGATATACAACAAACAAACCAACAAAGTAATGTTGGAGTTATTCTGTAGTCGAATAAATTATATTTGGTATATTCAACTTGTAAGGAGTTAATTATATACACGTTTAAGGCCGCCATATAGCCGGACTATTGCTGAGTGCGGCGTAAAACTAAACTCACTCACTCACTCACGTTTCCAAACACACCCAGAAGCACCTGTTGACTCTAACGACCCTAGTGCGTACCCGTACAGAAACAAGTAGATACATGCATACTTCATTAATTATAAATGTAATTACAATCATCACATGAATTAGTGAACATCTTTGATTGTCCCCCACATTCTTAAGTTAAATTGTATTCAATGTTTACAGATACTGAATAATCCATAATTATGTTTTCGAACCCAGTATCTAAAGTTAAACGGTTTGTGTACTTATTCTACACATGAAGCAAATAACCAAACGGCACTGGAAAACTTTCCCACAAAAAACTTAATGTCACAGGCTTAAAAATAAAGAAATCTTTAAAAGTGTTTTCTTCAACTTTGCAAGCCATCCTCCGTGTGATTGGCTGATCTCAAATTTCCCCCCTATCTGATGATTTGCGCATGGCTGTCGACAGTGTATGTACACCACACGTTGGGTTCGTCATGTTTACCCTCAAGCCGGGGTCTCCATTTGTGGCTCAGTCAAGACAGAAAGAAGTTCCTCAAAGCTACAGTCCACACACGTGATAATACCAACAAGGCGGGGTATCCATGTAAACTATATATACTACACGTCCCTCGAGACTTAACACTCACCTACTCACACGCATCGGTCGGTGCCCGCCAGCGCTTTAAAGGTAAGGCTCTCATTTCTTGTGTCATGATTTGATCAGCTGGGGTGAGTGAGTGAATGAGGTTCTAATGCCTTGTAGGCAGCAACGCGCCTCTCATCACGACTATGGTGATGTACTTTGTGTTATGTGTAATGTTTTAATCGTAGAATTTGTGTTTTGTTTTTCTTTGGAATTTTTGGTATTTCAGATAGTTTGCGTGTTTGTTAAACACCACAGTCAGTAATGTATAATTGTATATATCTTACAATATAGTTTTTACGCCTAACAATTGATCTCTTATTTGATAATGGTCACATTCTTTATTAAAAACAAAGGTTTAGGTGAAAATGTTTGGGTTTTTTTAATTATGGTCAATTACTCGAGTAGAGTTTATATCCATAAATTGTTTGGCAAACTCATATAACAAGGTCTACGTAAATGGGACATGGTTTACCCAATATTTTTTACCATTTAATAAATCATGCTTAAAACAAATCAGGGTATAAAAATCTTCCAACAAAGAGCGTTACCATTGGCAGAATAGAATTAATCATAAGATTAATGCTCGATTGTCATGCAGCATGTATCCAATAATTTACAACTGGGTATGTTAAAGGTGGAATTCATTTCTGATTAGATTCATATTCTATGTTGCTCCAATAAACACAATACAATATACATCATATATCCGAATACAAGGTATCGTCGGGTGAAGTTTCTGACTCACTACAGGTAAGTCAATGAGTAATCGTTCATGTCAGCCTGTCAGTAAGTCAGCTGGTAAGTCCGTGAGTATTCACTCAGGTAATCATGTGATTAATTGTGCAGGTAAGCCCGTGATCGATTATGCAGGTGAATCTGAAAGAAACTGCGTAGGTACGTCTGTGAGTATTCGTTCAGGTAACCATGTGAGTAATCGTGCAGGTATGTATGTGAGTAATCGTGCAGGTAATGTCTGTCCCTAATCGTGAAGGTGAATCTGTCCGTAAGTCTGTCCGTAATCGTGCACGTAAGTCTGTCCGTAATCGTGCACGTAAGTCTGTCCGTAATCGTGCACGTAAGTCTGTCCGTAATCGTGCAGGTAAGTCTGTCCGTAATCATGCAGGAAAAGTCTGTCCGTAATCGTGCTGGTACGTCTGTGAGTATTCGTTCAGGTAATCATGTAAGTAATGGTTCAGGTAAGTCTGCGAGTGACCTGGCACCACTTCACTGTGGCCAGGAAGATAGAACCAGTCTCGGCGATACATGTGGTACTATTGTCCGCAGTGGTCTGGGTGTGTAAATGATTACGCTTCTACGGCTACAAGGGGGTGTGGGTTATTAGTGGAACAACAAACTGATGTTCCATATTGAGGTCATGGCGGTTATGTCAGGTTCAGTCCACCTAACCTCCAACCCAAACTACAGGTTTTTAAAATTATGTTTGCAGAGATGTATGTTTTTTAATTATGTGTAATGTTTTAAGTTTTTCACAGCTTTGTCACTACCCGTAGTGTACAGATCACTCCTTGTAAAGACTTACTGACTGAGTTTGGTTTTACGCCGCTTTTAGCAATATTCCAGCAACATCACGGCGGGGTACACCAGAAATGGGCTTCACACATTGTGCCCATGTGGGGATTCGAACCCGGGTCTTCGGCGTGACGAGCCAACGCTTTAACCATTAGGCTACCCCACCGCCCCCTCCTTGTAAAGAACTCACTCAGATGAACAGTGAGTGAACATGGTTTACTCCGTTTTTAGCAATATTCCAGCAATATCATGGTGGGAGACACCAGAAAAGAAGCTCACACATTGTACCCATGTGGAGAATCGAACCCGGGTCTTTGGCGTGGTGAGCGAACGCTTTAACCACTAGGCTACATATAACACCAGATGGAGGAGAAACGAGTACGGTCATACAACCACAACATAGTGAGAAAACGTATGGTGTCATCCTGGGCATGCGACTTACTGAAAATGTTTGGGTTTTTTCCAGCAGTTAATGGGTACCCGATATGTCAGGTGGATGTAAAAATCCCCTAGCGCAGCTTGGGTTGTGTCAATGAAAACTTGAATGCATACGGATCAAGGTTGAATCGGGTTGAAAATCGCATTTGCGCAGATATCATATGGATTAGTGTGGTGTATAGATGTATGATAAGATAATAATATTTCTTAAGAATTTTTCAATTAAACAACTTAGCGGTCTCATTTTGAACTAACATGTATACTGATTCCCCTGTGGATACATTTCCGATGAAAGTTCTTGTCATAAAGCATTTCTTGTTTAATATCTCGTTGGACAAACCTCTTACAAAGTTTGAAAGGTTTTATCTAAAATTAAAGAAAAAGGTTTGAAAAGCTGTCAGTTTTCTGTTCGTCAGATAATCGTATTTGAAATCAGGCGTACATGGCGCAAGCTTGTTTACCAGCATCGCAGCGACATGCATTAAGTGCATTTCCATTAACACACAATGCCAGCATTGCTCTGTGGAACATTCCGAGTCACGAACGCGGAAAAACCAGAATAGGAAACCTCACAATGTATATTTTTACTTAGGTTTTATCCTGGACAGTGTGTTGCCTTTAATGACACGTTTCTAAATGTCAATGTACGTCTTTCAGTGCGTCATGGCCTTGTCTAGGGAATAATATCACAATACAAATATCAGACTGCAGCCCCGGGCGAAGTATCCGGCTTCCCTGTATCGCTACCTCCTGTAAGCTCATATTCACCATTACTATAGTCTGTTTTCAGGGAAAACGTACCGATGAATTTCAATTTAAACAAACAAAGTAGTTTAACAAACGATCATAGTTTCAAATCGCTATTATATTTTTGTATTACAATGGGGTATGTACATTAAATGAACACCGAGAACACGTAGAGTTGGTCTAAGTTAACGCTCATCACGAAACCGCACGTGCGTTTGTTTCACTGTTCCAACTACTGCATAGAGATTTCAATGTATGATCTTTTGTTAAACAACTTTTATCCTAAGATGACTAAAATGCTGAGATTTAAATGTTCAATTGGCAAGGTAAAATTATGACGATTCGTAATATTAATTTCACTTTATTTGATTTACTTTTTTGTTTAAAGTGAAATTCATCGGTACGTTTTCACTGCAAACAGACTGTACACTATGTTTCACTGTAGGAGATGCATCTATTCAGGCTTTGGAGCAGGGAGTAAGAGAGGGGTGGTCTGCGAAATACGGTTAAGTCACTGTTACAGTTTCTTTAAAAACACATATATAATTGGTAACTGACAATGAAAAACAAGCAATACACAGTTAAACGATTGTGGAATAGCGCGTTGGTTAACGCGTTTGCTCAATGGTTCGATCATGGTTAGAGCGGTGGGGTAGCCTACTGGCTAAAGCGTTGGCTCGTCACGCTGAAGACCCAGGATCGATTCCCCACATAGGTGCAATGTGTGAAGCCCATTTCTGGTGTCCCCGCCGTGATATTGCTATAATATTGCTAAAAGCGGCGGAAACTAAACTCACTCACTCTTTCGATCATGGTTAGAGCGGTGGGGTAGCCTACTGGCTAAAGCGTTCGCTCGTCACGCTGAAGACCCGGGATCGATTCCCCACATAGGTGCAATGTGTGAAGCCCATTTCTGGTGTGCCCCGCCGGGATATTGCTATAATATTGCTAAAAGCGGCGTAAACTAAACTCACTCACTCTTTCGATCATGGTTAGAGCGGTGGGGTAGCCTACTGGCTAAAGCGTTCGCTCGTCACGCTGAAGACCCGGGATCGTATGGTTCGAAATATACTCAAGAGTCAATCTCATAGGTGAAGATCTAAAATCTATTGCGAAATGTATAGATTGACATTTTATTCTAATTAACCTTTAAATCATATTGTGAGGTGACATAATCAGAGTGCAGGCTATTTGTGAAGGTCAAGGTGACACGATCGCGCCGTCATTGAAAGCCGCCATATTGGACTAAGTACTGTGTCTGGTTTTGAACTATGTCGGTTCCGTGTCGTGTGGCTCACACGACATCGGTATCACAGCATGCTTACCACATATGTAATATATTTACCTACATGGCTCAGATAAATACTTAGTGGTTGGCAACCAGACACAACTGTTTAGATAAATATTGGCGGCAGGACGTTACAATGTGGCGGCAAGCAACCCTCGCCCATGGCGCATAGCTGACGATTTGGAAAGAAAATATTGTTATGCGGAGTGCGCCGCAACTTTTGTCCTTTATAATCTGCAAATTGTGAATAGAGGTCTCGTGACTTGGACGTTTTGTGTTGCGGTTGACATCCGACTTTCGAAAATTTCAGCTGCTAGCCCCGTTTGCTGATGCATATGGAATTGGTAAATGGTACATTAAAACCGACAGTTTACATTTGATTTGATTAAATGTCCAGTTGACAGGCACTGCTTTAGATTAGAGAATGTATCGACTATAATGTGCGTTGTCGAACAAAGTAGTGAGTGAGCAAGTGAGTTTGGTTTTACACCGCTTTTAGTAATATTCCAGCAATATCACGGCGGGGGGACACCAGAAATGAGCTTCTTACATAGCAGCCATGTGGGGAATCGAACCCAGGTCTTCGGCGTGTCGAGCGAACGCTTTAACCACAAGGCTACTACAGATAAAAAGAGTGAGTTCGGTGTTATGTTGCTTGGAGTCGGTGACACGGGTTACACCCTGCTTATAGCAATATTCCAACAATATCGCGGCGGGGAACTCCAGAAATGGGCTTCTTACATTATAACTAAGTGTGAAATCGAACCCGGGCCTCAGCGTGACGAGCGAAGGCTTTAACTACTCGGCTACCCGGCCGCGCCAGTTTAATAAAGAGGCCCGTTTAGTGATGCTCGTTTCAGTCGACGTGTATGGCAGGTTCGACGGCGCGGCACGGCAGGGGTAAACTGCGTGGCATGAGAAATGTTAACGTCATCTTTGCCATAATTCTTCCCAAAGTAATATTCTAGCACGACATTGTGTGATACTCACACTAACGCGTTCGGTTTTTAAATTCCATTTAGCGGTCTTAAATCAACGA